AATCATAACAGCTCAGATCCCAAGATGGCAGCCAGGCATGGTGGTACACACCTATAACCCTAGAACTAGGGAGGCAGAGGCAGGAAGATCCCTGAGAGTTGGAGGCCAGCCTGGGCTCCATAGTACGTTCAAGGCCAGCCTGGAATACATATTGAGACCTTGTCTCAAAAACACCACAATACAATGAATGAGTGAATAGACACTTCATGATAGAAGAAGTACAAATAGCCAATAAATACGTCAAGAAATTCTTAACCTCAGTGGACATTTGAGAAGAACACAGAAATTTCATCTTAAGTCAGAAAGAATGTCCATAATCAAGAAATCAAATAACAAATGCTAGCAAGGCCATAGAGGAAAAAGAAACTTGTACATTGTTGGTGGGACTATAAACTAGTATAACCTCTATGGAAATCAGTATGGAGAGTTCTGAGAAACTAAAATTAGAAATTCCATTTGACTCAGCTATATCCCTTCTTCAAATAGTTGAGGAAGTCATATTATAGTGATACATTTTATAGCAGCACAATTCCTAATAGCATGGAAGTGGGTTACACTTTCATCAACAGATGAATAGATAAAGAAAATGTGGTATTTATACACAGGGGAGTACTACGTTGCCATAAAGATAAACGTGGTGGGTATGATGGTGCACTCCTGTAATCTCAGCACTCAGGAGGCTGAGGCAGGAGGATCAACATGAGTTTGAGATTAGACTAGGCTGCATAATGAGTTCAAGGCCAACCTGAACTACATAGTGAGACTCTGTCTGGAAAGAAAGAGAGAGAGAGAGAAAGAGAGAGAGAGAGAGAGAGGGACTTGAGTCATTTGTAAGAAAGTAGATGCATCTGGAGATCATAATGTTAAGTGAAATAAACCCCAACACACAAACTTAAATAGCACATGGTTTCTCTTATATGAGAAACTCACAGTATAAATAAAGAGCAAAATAAAAGATAGATAATAGGAAGTTAGAGACAGATCTTTCTCATAGAGGAAGGAAATCAAGAGATGGAGAAAAGGGAGAGGGAGGCAAAGGAAAGGGGATGAGAAAAGGGAATTAAAGTGTGTTATGCACAACATCAACTGCACACAAGGAAAGCAAACATGATGTACAGTAAACATGCAGTAATAAAATTTTTAGAAAAAGAAAATGACAAAAGGTGAAAACAAACAAACAAACCAATAAATAAATAAGATGGTGATGGAGCATAAGTCAGGCCCTGTGGAGCACTTGGAATATCTTCCAAAGCTTGGTCTTGAAAAGCAGTGAGGCTTCCACCTAGTACCCTGGGCACTTGCACCTTTGTGGCCCTGAGTGGTCCTGCAAGAAGCCTGGCTTCCTGAAGACACCATGCTGGAGACACTGACTGAAGACACCAGGGATACCCAGGTGTGACGGTGGAGGGAAGAAGCCTTTGTGATGACCCCAGCTTGGCTTCTACCTGACACCAGCATCATAAGCAATCCAGGCAGACCTGCCCAGCTGGGCTGCTCCAAACTCCTGGCCCCCAGAAACCCTGAGTATTTTGTTTGAAGCCACTAAGTGATAGGGAAACCTGCTGGCAGCCATAGTAACTGGAGCAAAGTGGGATGTAGGGCCAGGGTATGTGAACAGCAGTGCTCTGGACAGAAAGCAGCATATGCAAAGGCCCAGAGATCAGGGCAGTGCTAAGATGAAGGTGCAATAACAATTTGGGGGATTTCCAGTCCATTGAACCCACTGAGCACAGAACTCTTCTGTGGTGCCTCCCACAGAATAAGAATCCATGGCCACTTCTGTGCAGTGAGCAATTTGTGTAGTTCTGTGCCTTACACTTTGATTTGACAAAGCCTATGCTGGGAAGGAAGTCACATTTCATTTATTCATTCATTCATTCACCATTTAGCAAGTTTGAAAGCATCTTCTATGCTAGGAGCTTCCCACTGTCATCTGGGTACCACACCCCGACACCCACACGCACTCCAAGCTGTGAACTCTATCTCCAGTGCACTGACGCACAGACGCAGAGACGAGACTGAGGGGCCCAGGCTCTCATTCACTGCCAGGTCAGGAAGTGGGATGCAGCGAGGCACCCAGAGTGGCTGAGCCTCCCTCTGTCCCAGTTCTTGGTCAACTGTTCCCAGGCTGTATGACCTTAGGCAAGTTGCTCAACTGCTCTGGGCAAGTTTCAGTTTTTTGCTTGGTTAAAGGAGACTAAATTGCAGGCCAGGGGCCTCAGTTCACAAAGCATGAAGGTCAGTGCTTCCTCCTCACCTCTCAGGGTCCCATCTGCACTGGGAGAGCTGAGCAAGGCTGGGAGCTCTGTGTGACCTGGCGAACATAGCAATTGGGGCAATGAGCCTCTGCTTTTTCTGCCGGAGTCCTGCACCTGGCACAGTGTTCTCTGCTCCTGACGAACACCTGCCTCCCCAGTGCCCCCCCAGTAGTGGGGCCCATTCAAAACTTCAGCAGGATTTAGGAAAACAAAAGGAACAAGACAATACCGAGGGGTGGTAGGTCCCTGCCTGGCAAACCAGCAGGGAGGGAGGCACGGCCACCAGAGAACAGAGCCCAAGGCCACCCTCCAACCCCTGGACAGCTTCCTGTGCAGACACCAAGATCCCAGGGAGAAAGCTATGCCCTCACAGGGTTTGCATTCTGTGAGCTGAGGGCGTCACAATCACAGAACACTCTGTGTTCACCTGGTGCGACACTGCCCTGCCTCAGTTAACTCTCCTGTCCTACAAGGTGGATGAGATGATTTTCCTCACTGAAGAAGAAGCCAAGAAAAAAAAAAAAAAAAAAAAAAAA